TCCAGCAACTGTGATACGTGTGTCTTCTGTGCCTGTAGCTGCGACGAAATATCTGACAACTGTGTTTGCATCTGTGACGACAGCTGTGATGACATCTCTGACATGCGTGTATCCTGTGCTTGCATCATCTGTGACATGGCAGCCAACAACGTGTTCATGTCCATAACTGTTGATGACGAAGGAGCCTTTTGCTGTTCTTCAACCTTCCCGGATGTCTGTTGCACATCCTTCGACGAACATGCAGCCTCATCCTTCTGTTCGTCCTTTGCGGATGTATCGTCGGGTTTACCTTGGAAGTCTTATTTGTCCACGTCGCTGCCTTCAGCTTCCATAGCCTCTCGCAACTGGGATAACAATTCCACTTTTCTTCCGGAGGTGGCCAAATTACGCTTTTCCAACTCCTGTTTCAGCTCCTCAATCTTTAAGTCCTGAATTTTCGCCATTTTCAGTAGTTTATCCTTCGGGATTTATTTAACAATCCCACTTCTGACACCAATTGTTACGATTATCCTCGAAACCTTGAGGGATTACCCAAATATACTCGGGCTCGTATCGCTGGATTGTTAAATAAATGCTAACGATGACCGAATTGTAGTACAATTAACTTTATTGTACAACAAACAATTTACAATACTTGCTAATACAGTAAAAACACTTTACAATACTTGTTAAAGCAATAACAACGCTTTACTACTTGTTAACACAATTAAACTTATAGCTTGCTTATTCGCAACTCGATTCTCCGCTCACTTTACTTGTAGCTTGCTGACTTGTAACTGTCCCAACTCCGCTGTGTCGTGGCTCTTATATACCTGCGCTCACAACTTATGGCAACTCTAGAACGTTCTGACGTTTATCGCTCATTCTCTTTCTTTCGCTGTTCGCAGTGTTCATCCAACTTGACGTTTCTCTTTGTGGAACATTCTACGTCATTCCTCGAACATTCTGCCTATTTCTCGTTGTTCGCTTTGTGTTGCCGCAGTATTCGCCACAATACGTCCATACCTGCTCAAGCTTGCCATCTTTCCAGCGATGCAAAAAAAAAACATCGATGTTTGCTATTCGATGTATCGAATATAACCGATGTTTTCGACTTTCCGATATACATCGATATATCGAAGGACTTTTTTCGATGCATCGACTTTTGTGCGTACATAATTAGGCTATCTGCACACTCGTCGTGCGTTATCGTCTACCCCTGAAAATTTACACTTGTTATCGGCTAGTTATCGGCAAATCGTAGAAGATTTGGAAACGGTTAAGTACGGCGCTGTCGTTTACTAATCGTTGTACACGCATTGTTTGTTTACATTTGATGGGGAAAAATTAGTGGAAAAGTTGATATTTGCATTAAAATTGCATAAAAATTAGTATTTTTTTGAATAAAATCTGTGGAAATTATTAAAAAGTGGATAATTGTATTAAAATTGCATAAATGTGTGCGTTTTAACTATAAA